TATGTAATAAAACACCATATTCTAGAGCAAGTTTTTAACTATGTTGATTTGGGAGTTAATATGGACCCTAACCTTAATTTCAGTCTTCATATTGATACCATGGTCTTGAAAGCAAAAGCTGTCCTCAGTTTTGTTAAACGTTAGTCTAAAGAATTTAGAGATCCGTATATTACAAAACACTTTATACAACTTTGGTTAGACCTATATTGGAATATGGCTCAGTTGTATGGAACCCTAGCTACCAAATCCATTCTGTTAAGTTTGAGTCTGTTCAAAAACAATTTTTACTTTCCGCTTTAAGGCATTTCTGATGGAATTCTAGGTTAAGTCTACCTCTATAGACTAGTCGTTTAAAACTTATAAATCTACCTACACTACTACCAACTTTCTAGTTGTAGGGAAATGCTTGGCATAATATTCTTAGTGAAAATCTTGAATGGAACAGTTTGCAGTTCTTTTCCCTGTCTGAAATTAAATTTAATATCCCGGTTCGCCTTTCGAGGCAGTTAAGACCTTTACTGCTAAAATCCTGTAGATCAAATTTTGAACTAAATGAACCATTCCGCCGTATATGTTATGAATTTAATTCTCATTCCAGCACATTTGACTTATTTGACCCTCTTTTCAAAATTAAAAAGACTTTATTGTTTTCTATTAATAAATGAATATGTAACAATTTATTATATTGTAACTTGGATCTTAGCTGTTGAAATTTTTGTTTCTGTAGCTGAGCAGTTTTAGATCTCAACACTTAAAAAACTCTCTTGCCTTTTCTGACTCGGCTAATTCCGCACGTATGCGGATTGCGCCCCTCGCGTTGGTTGGGCGGGAGGAGGGTAATCGTTGGGTTATTAATTAATTCACGCAAAGTTTTACCCGATACAATCATTGTTGCTTGATTTTCATAGTGGAAAGTAAAAGAATCAGATAAAATCTGAAATTGTGTTTTCTTTCGCACTATAACATAGAAATATAAGACGAGTGTTATGTACCAAATTTGTTTGATTTATCGCGCTTTTAGTAGTTTTTAACAGTACCGTTATATGGGAAGTAAGCTGGGTTGTCACCCGATTTCACCCATTTTCACAATCTATCTAACTCGATTAGTTTTAGGTGATACAAACAACCGTTAGGTGAACAAAACTATTATACTCTGTAGCAACAGGTTGCGAGAGTATAAAAATTAATTCAATCAGCCCTTCCATTTTTTTCTCCACAATATTTCCTATATACTGATTTCCGACTTTTCACCTGACTGCAAACCGTTAAGATTGGTCAAAATGTGTGATATTTCAATGAAATTAAGTGGACAAGTTAGTTATAAAATTATATTAATGGTTTGGCGCTAACCAGCGGCGGATTTATCAGCAGGCTGAGTAAGCTGTAGCCTAGGGCGGCAAATTTTGGTCGAAAAATTTTTATTTCGATTTTCGGAATAAAAAAAATTCAATTTTGTACAGAGAAGACAAGTCGTAAAAATTTTACAGAAATTAAAGTCTAACAAAAATTAAAAAATAAATATACAGTACTCCAGACAATATAGTAAATACTTTAACGTCTATTTATAAACAGTTGCTAAACGCTTTATGAAATATCCACAAATCATTATGAACTTTCATTAGCATTGAAATTAAGATACTTTACATATTTTGTTCATTAATAATTACTATAAGTTTTCCTTTATGCACAGAGAAAAAACGATTTACTTGAATTAAATAAAAAATTATCTTTTAATTCCTTTTCTTGATCGAAGTAAACGTTTTTTCCTTGATTCAAGTATATTTTCTTTGTCTGAGAAACTTTACATTCTTGCTCTAATAAACTTGTGTCTTGGCTCAAGTAAATTTTCTCGTCAATAATATTTTTGCCTCAGCTTAAGAATTTTTGTCGGAAGAAAATAAAATTTTTAATTTTCAAAAATGTTATTGTTTGGGCTTTCAGAAGTTAGCAAATTAATGCTATTTGCTCTTGAAAAGAATTTAACGTCCGTCGGGATCGAACCCACGATTTCTCTGTATGAAGCAGAGTCGCACGCCACTGCGTTAAATCGACAATGCTCAGTGATGTGTTTTTTTCATCTAGATAAATTTAAACTGAGGCTTCACTTACTTACTTTTATCCTTTCACTTTTAGAGTTTGGGGCGGGGGACTACTTAAAGATCAAGAAAGGAATTTTCTTGTCACAAGAATTTTTTTCTTGGTTAAAGGGTAATCTTACTTGCCGGTAGCAAGTAAATTCTTGTTTAAGAATTATAAACTTCATACCAGAAATTAACATTTGATTTAAGAATTTAATTTCAAAAGGATATATATTTGGCACAAGAGATTTTGGTCTTCCAACTCAATCTCAAAAACTTTCTTGAGTCAAGAATTTTTATTTACAGCTAAAAATTTTTTTTATCTGTGCACCTAAAATTATTAATATTATTGTACTAACACAATTTTATTATCATGCTATATCGATGATTTAATTGACAAATTATTGAATCAAATTTCAAAAAGTTCTTTTTTATTTGTAAAAAATATGGATTAATTTTTTTTTTTAATATAAAATCAGTTTGATATGTGGACAATTGCTATTTGACAACGTGAAACGGAACTCTATGAAAAATGAAGTTAGGCAGTTCGGAAATTAGAAAATCGTTACATTTTACCGCTTAACTATTTCATTTGTATTATGTTATCGCGTAGTCGTAGATGGATTATAACGCCAAAACATGATCGTTCAGTAATTAAAAAGTGACAGGCCGAATGATATCACGAGTGCGGCGCAATAGGGTTACGGCGTTAGTTTAAGCGAGATTCCGTTGAATATATTCGCTGCGTCGATGTTTTGAGCTCGAGAGCAAGAGAAGCAGATATAGAGCGACAATACATCCATTTATTGCATTTAAGTGAAAAAAAGGAAAGTCACTTCGGATGTTTGTGTCTTACAGTTTTTAATATTCCGTATTGATATTAATATTCCAGAAGCTAATCATTTTAGTTGTTAACTATAATTTTTCAGTGGACTCGTAAATAATTTTATAAAATAACATCACTGGTGGGTACGATACAAATTCAATGTAAGTATATAAAAGAATTTTAATGTTTACGATAAATAAAACGTAGCGAAACAGTAAATTTTACTTAATAACCAAAGTGTATACAAAATTCAAAATTTTTGTCTTATAACTATCTGTTCTGCTTTTATTAGGTAAGTATTCAAAGTAAAAAACCTGAACAAAGAATACTGGTAATAAATGATAGTGTAAAAAAACTAAAAAAATACGCTTTAAAGGAATTTGTACACCACTTCCCATAAAGCTCTTCCCTACCATCTTGTTTATAAAATTTAATGCTTATGGAGCATTTATTTCGTCAGTTATCGCACTTTTAGTATATTTTAAAATAACTGTTATATAGGGAGTGGGCGGGGTTATTTTATGATTTTGCCCATTTTCACAGCGTATGAAAGGGCTAAAAGGGCTTCCTCTCAGAAAATTTGGTTGAGTTAGTTTTAGCGGTTTGGAAGATATACTTGTATATACATTACACCATTTAGTAGGCGGGGTTACGCCCACCTTTTAAATAATGGGAAACTGTTGCCAAATTATTCCATTGTCATCGGTCCTTTACACGTCTGCAAAGTTTCAAGTTGATCTGACTTCTGGAAACCGGTGAAAATTGAGCTCTAAGATTCCATTGCATACATACAACCCAAACTAATAAAAGCATATTAAATTACGTACAGAAAACGATACTTTTAATTGTTTCAGTTCTTGAATCAAAAATTGTCAGAATGAGTGATGGGGGAAAGCGACTTAGTGGGGCCGAGTACAGTAAAAGTGCAGAAATTAAATAAAGAAGTACAGAAGGAAGTCATCCGACAAACAGTATATACTGACAATTTTTTAAAAAATGAAAGTAAAAGCAGTATTTTGAGTGTGGAAACTTCAAACATAAGTCTTAATACAATACAATCTGAAGAAGAGGAGACCGAAGCGGAATCATCTGTAAGTCCAAGAATTGAAGATTCGTCTCAGAACCAAACGTCAAGTCAGAACGACGTCGAATTAGTATAAACAATCAAAAGTCTAAATAAAGATCCCACGCTATGGATAATTGACAATAACTTGAGGGAGATGATCGCAAGGTACGGCTTTGATCAAAATAAATCTTGTGACTTCACTAAAAGTGAAAGAATATATGCGGATCAGCGTCGTTTTTTGCCAATATCTTCTAAAGAAAAATGAGAAGTAATGAAGTGAAAGATCGAAATTGGTTAGTATATTCTGAAAGTAACAGATCTGTATATTGTGGTCCGTGTTTGGCATTTGGTCCATTGGAGTGTAGAACCCAATTTGAGAACGGAGGATTCAATGACTAGAAAATTACAGATCATCGAGTAGCTCAGCATGAAAACTCTGCGCGTCATAAATCTAGTATTCTTGGTTTCTTCTAAGATTGATGACCGACTTAATAATTTATTGCAGGTCCAGATTGATGAAGAAATAACTTACTGGAGAAACGTTCTAATGAGAGTTGTTGCTGTCGTGAAGTGATTATGTTCAAGAGGTCTCGCTTTTAAAGGGGAAAATGAAAAATTTGGAGATCCACATAATGGAAATTATTGTATGGATTTGGACCTATTACCGGAATTCTATCCTTTTATGGCTCATCGTTCGTTTACGATAAATAAAACGTAGCGAAACAGTAAATTTTACTTAATAACCAAAGTGTATACAAAATTCAAAATTTTTGTCTTATAACTATCTGTTCTGCTTTTATTAGGTAAGTATTCAAAGTAAAAAACCTGAACAAAGAATACTGGTAATAAATGATAGTGTAAAAACTAAAAATACGCTTTAAAGGAATTTGTACACCACTTCCCATAAAGCTCTTCCCTACCATCTTGTTTATAAAATTTAATGCTTATGGAGCATTTATTTGTCAGTTATCGCACTTTTAGTATATTTTAAAATAACTGTTATATAGGGAGTGGGCGGGTTATTTTATGATTTGCCCATTTTCACAGCGTATGAAAGGGCTAAAAGGGCTTCCTCTCAGAAAATTTGGTTGAGTTAGTTTTAGCGGTTTGAAGATATACTTGTATATACATTAAGCATACGTAACTGAACGAAGTATACCA